GGGAGGAGGGAGGAGGGAGGAGGGAGGAGGGAGGAGGGAGGAGGAGGAGGGTGCAGTCTGGCTCGCCGTTGTCGGCCTCTTGAGGCCCGCTCTCGGGCCCGCGGAGCTCTGCCTGGCAGAAGCCGATGACGGCGTCCGGGACGAGCAGAGTTGCCGGGATGGGCTCCAGGCGGGGTTCCGGGGGCCGATCCTGGCGGGGAGGTTGGCAGGCCAGCCACAACTGGGGGAGCTGTGGTCCTTACCCCCCTGGGGGGCTCCAGGCGGGTTCTGGGGGCCGATCCTGGCGGGGAGGTTGGGCAGGGGGGAGGAGGAGGCAAAGGATGGGAGGAGACCTCTGCCTGGCAGAAGCCGATGACGGCGTCCGGGACGAGCAGAGTTGCCGGGATGGGCTCCAGGCGGGTTCTGGGGGCCGATCCTGGCGGGGAGGTTGGGCAGGGGGAGTCGACTAGACGTACGAGTGACCTTTCGCTGGAGTGACCTTTGGTGCGGGCACAGGTGGGTCCCCAGACGGCTAAGAGCGAGGCAGTAATTAGCAGCTGCTTGCGCGCCCAGGCTTGCCAGGATGGGCTCCAGGCCGGTTCTGGGGGCCGATCCTGGCTGGGAGGTTGGGCAGGGGGAGGAGGAGGCAAAGGATGGGAGGAGAGAGACAGACCGTGATCGATGTGCCTCTCCCTCGTTTTGGTTGTTTGGGGTCTCCTCTGGGGCCCTCGTCGCCATGGCCACGGCTTGGTTCGCCTCGCAGTTTTGGTCAGTTCGCGCCCTTGGAGAGGTCTGGGGAGTGTATTCGGCATCACCTGAGCATGCGTATGCTATGTACGTGTGTGTTTGTGCCAGTTTCTCCATGCTGCGTGCGCTGGTCCAGCACGCGCTCTCCCTCTTGGCTTGCCCTACGCCGCGCCTCCGCGCACGTGGTGGCCGCGACATGTGTGTGTGTGTGTGTGTGGTTGTGTGTGTGTGTGTGTGTTTGAGCGTGTGTGTCGGCACCCAGTGTGCGTGTGTGTGTGTGTGTGTGTGTGTGTGTGTGTGTGTGCGTGTGTGTGTGTGTGTGTATGTGTGTGGTTGTGTGTGTGTGAGTGAGTGAGCGTGTGTGTGTGTGTGTGTGGTCGTGTTTGTGGTTGTGTGTGTGGTTGTGTGCGTGTGCGTGTGCGTGTGCGTGTGTGTGTGTGTCTGTTTGTTGTTGTTGTTGTTGTTGTTGTTGTTGCTGCTGTTGTTGTTGTTGTTGTTGTTGTTGTCGCTGTTGTTGTTGTTGTTGTTGTTGTTGTCGCTGTTGTTGTTGTTGTTGTTGTGGTTGTTGTTGTTGTTGCTGCTGCTGTTGTTGTTGTAGTTGTTGTTGTTGTTGTTTCGTTGTTGTTGTTGTTGTTGTTGTTGTTGTTGTTGGTGTGTGTGTGTGTGAGCGTGTGGGCGTGTCGGCACCCCAGGGGCGACGCGCGCGCCCAGAACTCTTTGTAGACTGTGCTCGGCGGTGGGCGCTTCTGGGCCATACCGCCCGGGTGGCGATGCACTGTGCAATGTTCGTGATACGTGGCAGGTTCGGACGCGCGCCTTCTGCGTCCTCCTGCGTCCACAGTGCTGCTAGCATTGTAAAGGTTGCCCGCGATGTGGCGCCGCTGGCCCCCTTACTATACACTATCCCCCACATTGAGGACACTCCAGATTTCGTAATAAAAGGGAGGGGGTCTGGACCCTCAAAGACAAGCCATTTCAGACCTCCCCCGTGGGAGAACCCTCCAAAACATCGTCCCCAGACCCCCCCAGGCCCTCCAAAATAGCCTGGAAGAGACCCCCCCCCGAAATGAGACCCCCCTCCCTTTATTACGAAATCTGGAGTAGCTTGCACCGAATACACCCTGGCAGGGGACTGGCGTGCACGGAAGGATCCCGCGCAGGAGGATCGCCTCACAGGGATAGCGTGCACGGAGGAAGCCTCCTTTCGGGGGATACTGGGATGACCGTGGGGGGGTGATGAGGGGATAGGTGGTTTTATTTGCCGATGCCGAGGTGGTTATGTCTGGCCCGACCTGGCTTATACGTGAGTTGGCTACACATGACTCCAGTGGCCTAGGGGTTGGGGGAACGATCCGGGCCAAGCGAGCTCCACCCAGTCAGCGGAGTGATCTGACCCCCCTGAGCCATTTGGGGCCTTCGTAGCCCCATTGTAAGCCAAGGTTGGGCCAGACACAGCCACCTTGGCACCCGATTAGAACTTCCCATCCCCTTACCGCCCCCGTGGTCATCCCAGCACGCTGGTAGCCTGGCGGTTTTAGGGTCAGACCTCGGGCCTCCGGCGGCCGTTCGGGACGGTCCAGGCAGCCTTGGACGCCCCTCGGCGAGGCGCAGCCGCTGGAAGGCATCCCGGGGCCAGAAAGCCGGCGAGGATCAACGAGAACGTTCGACAACCCGACGTAGCGTGCTTTTCGAAGATCGGTGTGGCACGCTGTCTTCGCGACGCCAGCTGTATCGGCATCCCCCTTGCTCCCCCAGAGGAGAGCCCGAGGTGGCTAGCCCTGCACGGCGACACCGCGGGGCTCGCGGCCGCCTCCCACAGGCTGGGCCTCTCGGCCAAGGAGGTGCGCGACCTCATGAGGAGCGCGTCAAAGGACGACGAGGACCCGGGGACCAATCGGCGGCGAAATCCGAGCCCTACTTTCGCTGATCAACGATTCAGGCAGCTCGATGGGCGGCGCGGGTACGGCTCGGAATTCGTCGCGCACGTGGCGGAATCCGAGCCCTGCCCCCGCCTCCCATCGTTTCAGGAGAACCGATGGTTGGTTGGTGGGGGGTAGGGTTCGGATGTCGCCACCTTACCAAGAAACTGGTATGAACAGAACTTTGAGATCTGTCAGAGCCCCGAATCATCAGGGGTAACTCGGGTCAGGGCTAAGTCGGGATCGTTTGTCGGGAATCCGAACCCGAGTTACCCCAGGCCCGAGTTACTCCGGAGAACTCGGGCGTCCAGAGCCCCAAATCATCAGGGGTAACTCGGGTCAGGGCGAACTCGGGTTCGTTTGTCGGGAATCCGAGCCCGAGTTACTACCCCGGGCCCGAGCTACTCCGGATAATTCAGGCGTCCAGAGCCCCAAATCATCAGGGGTAACTCGGGTCAGGGCTAACTCGGGTTCGTTTGTCGGGAATCCAAGCCCGAGTTGCCCCGGGCCCGAGCTACTCCGGATAATTCGGGCGTCCAGAGCCCCCAAATCATCAGGGGTAACTCGGGTCAGGGCTAGCTCGGGTTCGTTTGTCGGGAATCCGAGCCCTGCCCCCGCCTCCCATCGATTCAGGAGAATCGATGGTTGGTTGGTGGGGGGTAGGGTTCGGATGTCGCCACCTTACCAAGAAACTGGTATGAACAGAACTTTGAGATCTGTCAGAGCCCCGAATCATCAGGGGTAACTCGGGTCAGGGCTAAGTCGGGTTCGTTTGTCGGGAATCCGAACCCGAGTTACCCCAGGCCCGAGTTACTCCGGAGAACTCGGGCGTCCAGAGCCCCAAATCATCAGGGGTAACTCGGGTCAGGGCGAACTCGGGTTCGTTTGTCGGGAATCCGAGCCCGAGTTACTACCCCGGGCCCGAGCTACTCCGGATAATTCGGGCGTCCAGAGCCCCAAATCATCAGGGGTAACTCGGGTCAGGGCCAGCTCGGGTTCGTCTGTCGGTAATCCAAGCCCGAGTTGCCCCGGGCCCGAGCTAGCCCGGAGAACTCGGGCGCCCACATCTGGGCCCTGCAGCTTTTTCACGACGAGGCTTTTTTGTTGCAGGGCTCGGCTCCTGGGGCCATCACGGGTCGACCCGGCCCGCCAACAAAAAGCAGCAGCAGGGTGTGGGGTCGAGGGCTCCGGTCGTGACTCCTCGCCAGCAGTTTTGTCCGCGACGTCGGACGACGAGGAGAGACCGGCATGAGCATTGCCGGAAGGTGTTCCGCCGTTTTCGTTGGTTTTCGGCGGCTCTCTGGGCGTCTTTGCACTTCCTGCGGCGCCCTCGTGGCCGCGGCTGGATCCGCCTCGGAGTTCTGGTCAGAATGCACCCTGGGGCAGGTCCAGGGGCTGGATGGGCACCCCGGGGGGCTTTGGGGATCGAGGATTCCGGGTTCGAAGTTCAACGTTTCGTTGGTCCTCGGCGGCCCTCCAGCCTCGGGATGCCTTCCAGCGGCTGCGCCTCGCCGCGGGGCGTCCAGTGCTGCCCGCAGCGTCCAGCACGGCCGCCGGAGGCCCGAGATCTGACCCGGAAACTGTCAGGGTGCCATCCCTCGCGTCGTGAAAGAGTCACGGGGGGAGGGTTCGGGCAGTCTCTTGACTTCCTTGGCCCCGGGGACCGTCGAAAAGATTGTATTTTGCCATGCCCTTCGGGGCATAGCCCGAGCCATGCCCCCTAGCCTCCCGCCCCCCTTCCCCCCTAGAACGTAACGCTTCCCCCTTGAGTGCGTCTCTGGCACTGCCACAATGCGTCCAGCACAACAATCTGGGGGGGGGGGGGATTGCGCTTCGTAATGCCCCCCCTCGTCCCCCACCCCTCCCCTCCCTCCAATCGGCCGCGAAGTAAAACATGCGCTAAAGACGGCTCGGGATTAAGCACCAGCCTCGGGGAAAGAGCCGGGACTTGAGTTCTGGGGACCCCGCGTCTGGAAAGCATCGAGACACCGGATGTCCTTGGGAAACTCTCGGGCATTCGCGCGCGCCTGGGGCGCCGCCCGCGCTCGAGGGGGGTGAGGGGGGGACTTGAGGTCCGACGTTGCCAAAAAATTGCAACATCGCCAAAATTACGACCGGAGCCGCGGACCCCATGTTCCTGCGTCACTTTCCGATCCGGATCGCTCTGCGAGGGTCCTGGGACCCGACATTGGGTGAACACGCCTGGTGCGAAGCAGCTGCAACGCCCGGATCTGAGGGGGGGGGCCCTGGCGCCGACCCGACAGTTGTGCGCATTTCTCTGGCAGTGTGCGTCTGTGTCCTGTCTTTCTGCTGGCTCTCGAGAGGAGTGCCAGGAGCTGGAGGGCTTCCCCCCGATGGAGGGCCTCCTGCGGTGGCTGCGCCGTCTGTGCCGCGTGCAGCGGGCGGCCTGGAAGGCCCACTCCTCCTCCTCCTCCTCCTTCCTCCTCCCCTCCTCTCCTCCTTCGCTCCTCCTCCTCCTCACTCCTTCCTCCCCCTTCCCCCGCCTCCTCCTTCTCCTCCTCCTCCTCCTCCTCCTCCTCCTTCTCCTCCTCCTCCTCCTCCTCCTCCTCCTCCTCCCTCTCCTCCTCTTCCTCCTCCTCATCCTCCTCGCTCGCTCGCTCTGCCCGTGCCAGAGGTGTAAAGTTGAAAGGCATGCAAAACGAATTCAGGCAAGGGGGGGAGGGTCAGGGCGACGCCGACGTGGGGGGGCCAGCGAGTCCCCTTCGGAGCGCCCTGCTGCCACGCCAGGTAAAGGCGGTCCTGACGGAACGGCACTTGGGCCAGGGGTGGGTCCCGACACCATGCCCCAGGCGGCCTCCCCTCCCCAGCATTCCTCGAGACTGTTCTGGCGAACAACAGGGTCATGCGTGAACGTGACGTCATCCCTCCAACGAAGACCGCCAAACGTCAGGGTGGGGGCTTCGTCCACGGCCCCGTCGGGGGCAGCCCTCTTTCCAGTAACACTTCCACTATCCTGTCCCTCGCTCCTCTGCATGGCCGCTGATCTACCTGCATACTGCAGGCGCGCACAAGCAGCTTGGCAAAGGCACGCAAACACATAGTCCGTGTCCTCAAGCGGCCTGGTACACGCTGATCGCGCCATGTCCCCCCCAGCACGTCCACGGAAGCAAGGGAGGCGGAGACGATGGTTGAGGCATCTCAAAGGGTCAGAATGGGAGAAATTGGTCATCCCTCCACCCATCACCGTGGTCGCAGCATTTGGCTACGCACCCCACAGGGACAGTGAAGGTGGGATGCTAGAATATGTGGGCGGTCCCGTCGCCAGCAGAGTTTGTCCACACCTGGGCAGCTTCGATAGGGCACCGATCTCAGAGGGGGAGGCCACATTCACCCATGGGGAGATTTGGGATCATCCAGCAAACAAGAGTCCCATGAACGGCACACTTTAACCATAATTCAAAACACGAGCGCATCCGCGTATTCTCTGTTTCCATCCACTGACGTTCGCTGTCGCTTGTCTTGATGCAGCCCCAGGGGGGCGCAGCGGTGCGAACAGGATTGAGGCCTTCAGGGAGCGACTATATCGGGTGCGAGGCTTGCGCGAGACTAGCGAGAGTGTGCTGAATAAACAGACTTGCCGCTTTTTCCTTAGCAGCGGGCAGGCTCATGAACACAAGAGTGTGAGGGTTCGTGAAACTCCGTGGGCCACCCGCATCACATTCAATGCCAATCGGCCCAAATCGATCCGTCTCCCACAAGGGGGTTTCAGCAAACGGCTGAATAGTAGGTTGAGCAGCTTCCCTTTTGTAGACCACAAACACTGCGTAGGAGCAAGTCGTGGGAGAAGTAGGACATTGCACAGGGGGCGCTTGGGCCGAGGCCGCATCAGGGAGGGGCACCACAGAAGGGATCACCATCGGACTGGGTTTCGGGATGCGGACCAGCGGGCGAAAAGGCGGGCCAGCAACGCGGGCCGCAGGGACATGGGCGAAACGCTCCGAAAGGCCCCTGGCCCGATTGGCCCGCTTCACTTCATTCCGTTCCGCAGTGCTTTCCTCCAGCTCCTCCTTCGGCGGTCCCAGCTGGGAGTTGATCCAACATTCCCTGCAGCTCGACGCACTTTGGATATGTTGGAGGAGCCTAGCCGTGTCCCAGAACTGCATGAGGCAGAATCGACAGGTCGTGCCAGTGACGAGCCTCGTCGGGCTACCATCTGACTTATGTTCTCTTCCCGTGTGCACCTTGACGACGTGTTCCTTATCCGATGTGAACCAGCACATGTAACACGCAAACTGAGCATCATGCGCATGCGTGGGAGAGGCAGCAGGAGGGGAGATGGGAGCGGCAAGCGGGGCCCCCTTGACTCGCGCGAGCGGGGGGGGGGGGGGCAAGGGCGAGAGAGACCCCCTCATTATCTGAGATTTTGTCACGAATCCCATGCAATCCCGCCCGCCACATGTCACATCCCAGCTCTTCCTGCCACTGAAACTTGGCCCTGGCCCACGCGACGCCCGCCAGTCTCAAGCGTCTGCAGTGCTCAGCTCTAGCCATTTGAATACAAGAGGGGGTCCACTCGCCACCTGGGGGGTCCTAAGGGGGGGGGGGGGGGGGGGGGGAGGGGGGGGGGGGGGGGGGGGGGGCAGTTTTGCGCGCCCGCGCCAGGTCATGGCATATAAGGTGTGACCAGAGTCCTTGTATCCCCCATACCGCGTCAAGCAGCGCACGCACTATCGGCGGGTCACGCGCGAGGAAACGAGAGAGGAAACGGCGACGGGTGGCAGTCGCAACAAGTTGCATTGGGAGACGCCTGGCAACCGCTAGAACTCTCCTGGTAGCAAACTGCTCGGCGCCGTTGTTTCTTCGCCCAATTGATCGCGGTCCGATGCGTCGCGGCGCGATGCTCGCAATGCATAACCTTCTTTGGCAAGGGGTTCAGGGGGGGATGGGGCAGCAATCTTGTTCACGGGGCGAAGCGCCCCAACCGCCCCCGCAACGCGGTGCGACATCTCCGCCCCAAGCCCCCCCCCCCCCCGCGTCCGTACTCGTGGTTCCTAAGGCTTCGTGGCGCCTCGCCACCTCGAGATCCCGCCCCCGCCTAAGAACGGAGGGGCGGGCGGGCCTGAGTGGCGAGACGCTGCCTCGCCGCCTTCTGCCCGCCCCCCCTGAGCGCTATGAGGATTTTTATGGCGGGGTTGACTAGCGATCCCCGCGCCTGCGCAAGTCCTCAAAGGATATCGTGGGCCCCTATGACTTTACCAGGCAACTCTTGGGCATTGTCAGCAAGAAGGATGGTGGGATCATCGGTGAATGAGACGTTGCTAATCGCGCGGTCCCAATCGTCCTCGACTAAGAATCTGAGCGAAGGCTTGGTTGGCGCCCAAATTCGTCCTTCTCGTTGCGGGGCAGCCTCCAAATCTTCAATTGTTCCAGGGGGCGCAGCATTCAGCGCATCTCCAGCAGGGGTAGATCCAGGGCGGGGGCCGACCGAGGGGGAGATCCAATCTTTAGTGAGGGGGGGCTTCCACTGAGATCCAGTCCGCGACTCATGCAGCAGGGCGGTGGCGCGCGCAGTCTCAGCTGGCGCATGGAGGATCGGGGGTTGCGCGAGCGGCTTCTGGACAACGCTCCATCGTTTGGAGGGCGTGCCCCAGGGAATCCCCGTCTCGCGGCAGTCGGGGGGCCAAATGCTTAACCGTCGATTAGGAAGCCGCAGCTCAATCGGTAAACGCTCCTCCCGCTGAAACTTTCTGAACGCGCGTGGCGTGCCAATGCTGTCGGATGCAAAGCTCGGCAAATTCAGCAGAGCATCCTGGGCGACCTCCGGCCTGGGTGACATGCGACGCCGCGCGCGTGATGGTGCATTTTGGCCAGGGCGTTGCAAAGCAGTATGTTCCACTGAGCATTGGCCGCCCACGCACTGCCCGACCATTTGCAGAAAGACGTCGCCTCTGCTTCCTTGAAAGAGGGGTTCGTGCCTATGAGCCGCAATTTCTGGTTGGTGGGTGGGCGGGGTGGTGTGTGTGCGTGGTGGGTGGTGGTGGTGGGTGTGGGGGGGGGGGGGGGGGGGGGGTGGGGGTTGCGGCACCTCGGCGAGATCCACAGACGCCGCTTTGAAGATGGCATCGGGGAAGCGGCCAGGCCCAGCCAGTTTACGATGTTGGGCTCGGCAAAACAGGGCGGTGCAATCACGCGCGGTAGGCATTCCCGCGGCGTTCGCAAAGCGCGAGGGTCGAATGGGCATGTGACTAGCACTGTTGTGCTGCTGCAGCCTGTCCTCCTTAGTCATTCCCTTCCCCCTTTCAACTCTAGCACGCTGGTCCTGCGTGATGTCCTGAACTTTAAGTGAGGGTCTCAGCGACAACGCCCTGCGAATCACGCATGCACGGGGCGGAGGAAGCGATTTTGTGGGTTCTTCCAGCAAGCTTCAGAGTCTTGTGGAGGCGGTTCCATGCCTTGATCGGTGTCCGGAGGTCAATCGAGCTACGAGCCCCTTCAAGTTCTTTAACCAGGAAGACAGCTCCGTCTTGCTTGGGAGAAAAGGCCAAGAGTTCCTGCGAATCCATAACGAAGTGTTGCAAAACCAACGTAAACACATCCGCTTTAAACTCCGCGAGTCGTCTTTATCCAGGGCCCGAAGGAATCGGCTGGCCCAGAAGCGCAACCTCGCAAGGGCCTGAGCGATGAGTCTGTCAATGCTCTGGTCTTCCGCAATGCGCTGAACCCCCATTCCCGCCCGCGCAGTCTTGGGGTGGGAGGCAGGAGCAAAGAGAGGAACTTGGGGAGGGGATGAAGCCTTCCATCTGTTCCCACCTTTCGCCTGACTAGCAGACATCCCCTCACTTCCCCACAGCTCATTTTGAGGCGGCTGCACGTCGTGAGCTAACATTCCCAGCTGCTCTTTCCAAGTCTTATGCATCTCGTCATCAGCGTCGCCAGTGAGAAGGCGAGGCCCCCAGTTTGAAGCGGCAGGCAAGCCTATACAGGGTGTTGCGCTCAGAGAAAACACTGGCAGCCAGCTCGCGCTTTTTCCCTGGGGCCCTGGCAATTCCTCTGCGGGTGGCAATCAAGATCTTCGACCTTTCCGATGCATGTGATTCCCTGGGCGAGGTCTTGGGGGTTGGATGCCCTCCTAGCCGCCTGGAGGATCTGAGTTTGGACGGTCTGGAGATGGGCGTTAACGTCGGTCGTCCGATGAACGGGTGGGATCGCTCGGATGGCTTCCTGAAAACTGGCGCAGGCCTCCGGTTATTTCTCATGGCTTTTGCGCTGATCCCCTTGGGTCCCGAACGGGGAGGGTGAGTCAGAGCGACCCATCGAAAGGTGACCGACGCGGGCAAGTGGTCAGGCTGGGCCATAGCGTTGTCAAATTCCGTCCAAACCTCGACCTTGCTGACAGCCTGCGTGTCTCGCTGAGAAGCCATGAATCATACAGTCAATTCTGTGCTGCTGGCCG